TTAATTAAATTCGCATCAGAAATTAAATTCCTGGTCAAAATTTTAAGTTTTCTGTACATCAAAAACAAGAAAGTACATGTATGTGTAATGGTCTCAAAAATATCAAAAACAGCTCAACTGATGCCAAAATTCAATTATGCACATGCAACTCAGGTTCAACAGTATGTCCCAAAATCTATCGAAATGTGCTTTCTTCAAGTTTAACTCAACAAAAAATGAAAAAAATACAATTTTTACCAACATTCAATAAAAAAATGAGCCTACAAACTCATCTTTCTTAGTAACGGACAGGAGAAACAAATTAAATGTTTCTTTAGGCCTATTTATTTCCTGGTTAATGACCTACAACTGACCTTACAATGATGCAATATAATGTCCGAATTCTAAAGCTGAAATTACACATTATAAACAGGTCATGCCATTAAGACTTTCTCCAAGCCATTGAATCTCTTTAAAATGCATAACATATGTACACATTCCAACATGAGTTCTTCCCTTTCATTATGAAAAGATATCCTTTGCCCGCCTGGGAGTAATAGAAAGCTGTATATCCTATTATAGGCCAAGTAATGTTGGTCTTTTCAATAAAATAACGATATTTTTTAATGACACTATCATTATATTTATACTGTGATTACCTATAGTGTGAAAAATTTAAAACATAACATATCTACTTTGTGTGAAGTTAAAACACGTTTATTATATATTCATAAAGAGACTGTGTATCCATTGTCAATATTTTCTAATATCAAATTTAAGCATAGAATATCTTTAAAGACTACCTAAGAATGCTACAGACAGAGTTTGGTGATCATCTATCAAATATTTCAGTAGGTAATGATGTTCAAATGTTTTCTATATAAAGCTATCAAATATTTCAGTAGGTAATGATGTTCAAATGTTTTCTATATTAAGCTTTAGCGGCCTCTTAAAGGGGCAAATCAAATAAATATGAACAAACTTAATAAAAGACTACGGTAACCTAAGAATGCTACAGAAAAAAATTGGTGATCATCCATCCATTACTTCTGTAGAAGGAGACGTTTAAAGATATTTCAATTTTTAATTTCAGCTACCCCTAAAAGGGGCCAATCAAATAAACAAGAGCAAACTTGATAAAAGACTACCTAAGAATGCTACAGACAAAGTTTGGTGATTTCAGTAGGAAATGATGTACAACAGTTTTTTTCTATTTTTAGCTTCGGAGGCCCCTAAAGAGTCTAATAAAATAAAAACTACACGGTAAAAGTACTTGATAAAAAAACGGTCAAACAAGTGTTTAAAGTGTGTAAGTGGGGAGGGGGGGGGGGGGCGTGGTCAAAGCTGCATCAGTACTATGGGTGTAGAACTTAAGTACCAGTACCAGTACGTGCCAAGTTATGCAGTATCATTACCAGTACCAGTAATAGATTTACTGCAGTGCAATACTTTTTTAGGAAGTAATTAAGTATCATTACCAGTACTTTTATATATTCATCATAGTTTGAATCAATACACACAGTTAAATATATATATATATATATATATATACTTATTTTAATGATTGGTTTTTTTACAACTTTTTCCATTTTACATATGTATTCTTCAAATTAAAAAAATTGCAAACATGATTCAGCAAAATAAATGGAATTATTATTTACTTTAAAGTTTACATTTTTACAACTTCAATGATTTAACATACTTTTTCAAACAATATTTACAACATAATTGATGTAATATCTGATTGTTAAGTAACCAGTCAACTAAATAAATACAATGCATCATCCTTCAGTCTTTTACTCTTTCATTTAAAACACAACAGTTTTTTTCGCTTTTAACACCTTCAGTATTAGTGCCAGTACTTGCAGAATCGCTGCAATACGTACTGCAGTACCAGTACCAGTAATGAAAAAGTGAAAAACAGCGCTGGGAGGGGGAGGGATAATATTTTTCTACCTATTGCATACATTTTTGGTAAAAAAGTTTTTTTTTGCTTGTGTGATTTGTTAGCTTAATGCTATTATTTGTTTCTTGACAAAGATCAATAGGGAAAGATTTTTCATAATAATGATATTAGAGATTATTTTGGGTTTCTCATTCCTGAAAAAGAGCTCTTCTACAACCAAAGCTTTAGATCAGAAAAACTGTCCATAACTCTTAACCGTACAGTAAACTTTGTTTAAATTTTGCAAACGTGTGTCCTATAAGACATTTAACTGTTGATATTTTACAGTTCCTAATAGTGCTCATTAGGGGAGTCATACCTTAATGAAATACATTTTTGAGAAATATTTGGTGTAAATGAAGAGTATGTTAAAAGCTTCATAGATTAAAATTGCTGTGAAATCCAATAATGCAATGAATAATTTATCAAATAGAAACGCTTTATGATCTCCTCATAACAATCTTGAAGATGAAATATTCAAAGAGTTTGCTGAACTCCATATGTTATCAGATTAAAGTCGTTAATTTCCCTTGAGAATAAGGAAATAAGGTGAGGCCAACCGTTTATCTCTGTGTTATCGCAAGAGTCTATATAGATACATCTCCTAGTTTCAGCAGATGAGGTGGTTTTGACTCCTGGTGTAACTTGTTAGTTTATAACATGCGAGGTTAGCCAAAATAATCTTTCCTATTTCGGCGACAATTGTGTTGGTGCGCCATTAAAATTGTAAAGAATCGATTAAATTACTAAGCTGGAAAAAAATAAACGTCATTTTCACATTTTAAATTCAGTTTAAAACAATGAAAGTGAAAAGTATTATTTATTATAACTAAAAGCCATTAAACTTTTACCGATAACATTTGTTTACGCAGTTGTTGTACAATAATGTTCTTAGGATAAAAACAATACTTGCTAGCTGTTGACCTAGTTACTTCATATAGATGGATTTTTTTCAAACGGCATTGTATGAAACTTGGAATTTTATATACAGAATGCTTTTGTCTTGTATACGTATATATGCCCGAACAGCGACAAAAAAACACACAATATTTCTGCTTTGTGATTTTCATTTGATTACAAAGTCTTTAACCAAGCGTTCAAGGCGAAAAAGATCAAACGTGATAGTTGTTAGTTGAACAAACATTAGTAAACATATAATACAGAGAATTAAAAAAAAACCCATAAAAGCAATGATTTCTAAGGCATATATTTGTGCTTACATTTTACCCATCAATAATCCACGACATAAAAAGCAATATTTCTGCATTGTGATTTTCATTTGATTACGAAGTCTTTAACCAAGCTTTCAAGGCGCAAATGATCAAAATTGATAGTTGATAGTTGTTAGTTGAACAAACATTAGTAAACAAATAATACATAAAAAACATAAAAGCGATGATTTCTAGGCATACTTGTGCTTCAATTTTCCATCAATAATCCACGCAAACTACATACATTTCTATAAATATTTTCGGACTGTATCGGTAACAAAAGTGGGGCACACTTTATATTTTAGTTTTTTTATATTTTATCCTAAACATATGTCATCCATCTAGCTTATGGAACATTGGTGATTCTATTCAGGTACGTACCCGTTCGTACCTGAAATAATACACGAAAGGGCACCTGAGGTTTTCTTCAAAACAATATCAATTATCATTTAAATAAATTCTAATAGTGTTTTTTTGTACTAGATATTTAGTCTGTTTAAAAGAATAAAATTAGCCATGTCTGTACAGGGACCCTCTCCACGAACCTCCACACATTTCACTTTGATTCCCTTGACATGGCTTGTTGCATTCATTTTCCGGTTGTCGAGGGTATTTTTTCAACGTGTCACCACAGAAACACGCATAGCCGGCCTATATACAAATAAATCAAATCTGATCAATTAAGATACATAGCAATTCATGAATGAATTAATATTATATGGTATCAAGATAGTATCTATATAAAATATTTTTATGAAATTAAACAAGAGCGATCAGTTATCACATGTGTCGCCTCATGATGGCCAATTTCATGTTGGGACAAGTTTTATGACAGACGGACAGACAGACGGACAGTGCACAACTAAACTTGGTACTGATCATTCCTGTAAAGTTTGGATGAAATTGCACCAGGAGTTTATCAAAGGGCCATAACTATCATATGAACTTTTGAAAATTAACTATTGCTTTGACCATGCCAATACCTTTATTTGTGGTTTAACCAATTACTTCATGAGCATTTTGTGAAAAATGGCTGTTTTCATTGAAAAGTCTCCCGTTACAAGTTCAAATTGCTATAATACTATAAAAACTGCTTCAACACTTATCAAACTTGGCACAAATGTTGAATGGACCATTGCCCTTGAAACAACATGCTCAGGCTTAAATTTTCTGTTACAATGGCAACGAGGGGACATCTCAAAATTGCTAAAAGTCACTATTTTGCGTTGATTTTTTTCCATAAAAATTGATTTCGAAGTGTGCAACTTCTCAATGGATTGAGATAGAGTCAAATGCTTTTCAGCGTTGGTTACACGTTACCTTATGATCAATCTGGGGTCATTTATACTCTCTCCAAATTTTTCTTGGCGAAGGGGGACTCCGCCCCCTTCAAACCCCTCAAACAAAAGGCGGCACATTCCCCTTCCTTTTGGCAACCCCCAGATGTATCCTTTGGTTGGGGGACCGCGCCGAAAAAGTGGTCACTTTTTTAACAATATTTCTCAATTAAAAACAAGTGTTGGGGGCCTAAATAAGGCATTTTGCACCATTAGAGACAACAAAACAGGGGGGGGGTGAAAAAGGCGTTAAAAGGCGTGTATATCGCGAAATGGGTTAAGATGCAATTACGAATGACATTGAATGCCAAAGAAGTTGCCGGTTGTCTTATAAATATGTGATGGGGTATAAGTATTAAGGATCCCCTTCAAACACACACACGCACGCACACACGCGCACACACGCACATACGCACTCTTTTACTCGTCTGTTAACTTAGATATAAACGATAAACGATTTATATTTCGCCTGTATCCCGCATAAAAACACTAAATGGAAAATATATAACGTTCAAAAATTACCTCTGTTAATGAATATTCATGATCATATTCAATACACATTCTGATACACATGTCTGTTGTCAATGATGGCGGCCTAATATCTCTGTCATATAGAATCCTGTCTGGTCGATCTTCAAAGCAACCGATGTATGTGAAATCTGTATTCAGAGTATTACGACATATAATGTATATGAAAGGATAATGAACTTTCATAACGTTAAGGAAACTGAGAAAAAAGTGTAAATTAAAGAGAATAATTTTAAGAGAAAACAAGAGCTATCACTGTAGTGAGTTATATCCCCGAAAGGCAGCTTTGGCCTAAATTCCACTATAGTGTGCCAAAATACCGGTAATATACGCTTGAACGCCTTTGATAAACATTATATTTCTAAAAATTCATTGAAATTCCATTAAAAGTGAATGAGAAAAAGTCTTAACAAATTTTACTCAAACAATTCATTATCAAGGGCCCATAACTGTGCCAAAAAAACAAAAGCAAACATTTATGCACAAAGTCATGCTAGACTTGGAAAATTATGACACCAGTGGGGCGTCCGTGGCAAAGTTGCTAAGGTCGTTGACTTTAAACCCCTTGCCCCTCACCGCTGTGGGTTCGCATCCCGGCAGAGACTTTGGATTCTTTCATGTGAGGAAGTTATGCAGCTAGCTTATGGAACGTCGGTGGTTCTACTCAGGTGCCCCTTCGTGCCTGAAATAATGCTAGGAAGGGCACATGAGGTCTTCCTTCACCAGTGAAGCTGGAACGTCGCGATATGACCTATACTGTGTCGATGTGACGTGAAACCCAAAACAAACAAACAAACAAACAAACAAATCAAGACACCATGAAAACAATTTATAAATATTCACTGAAATTTCCCAAATGAATTTAGAGGTGACGTCGCTGCCGGTAATATCATTATGTTTTGCACTGATGAAGGCATATAGCCGAAAAGTATGCAATAACTGAATGTTCGTGTTTGTGTGGATTGTCTGTTTATGTAAACAAATAATCAAGAAACTTTGCATCACTAGACTTGGTGACAAACAATCGTGGACAAGGTTATGTTACTCGACAATAGACCATTAAGGGGCCATATCTCTGCCAAAATGAATTCAAACAGAATACAAGTTTGCTTCTTTAAAAAGAAGCATGCGAGAGGTCTTTTTGCTGCTGTGGAAAATTTGTTTAATACGAAAATATTTGGGGATATTTTTGCATAACAGACACAATGAATGTTTATAAATTACAATTATTAAACAAAATAGAATTTATTATATATATTGCAATGAAAGTTTGTTTTACATTTCATCTTTTTTTTTAAATGTTTTAAAAGATTATATGCCGGAGAAATGGACTTTTTTCTGGGCGCATTAGGGATACTTTTTCTACAATTTTTTTTTGTAAAATTACTTAATGTAAATTAAATGATATATATCATTTACATTTTTATTTGAAATTCAGTTCCCTTTGTAGAAAAATTATATATATTAAAAGTTTCTTGTAAAGTTCAATAAGCAAATTTTCGGTCACTGTTTTGTTAAATATAAGGAAGCATTTCCTCTACATTTTCCAAAACAAGTATAAAGTATGTTAATCAAAAAAGTTTACATAAAAAATGTTGATATCATTTGATTGGAATAAACAGTAAATACTGTTATATACTGTTATACTGTTATACACTGTTTATTGGAATAAACAGTGTATAAAGCTGCATACCTCCAACCACAATATTAGAAGAAAATCAAACTTGAGATAAAATTTGTGCCATTTGCGCCAAAAAATCTCCCTTTGCGTTATTTAGATATACCGGTTCAATACACGGTTTACTCGATCATATAATATGTTTGTTTGTTTCATTGTACGCCTTTTCCACACAGTATTTTAGTCATATAGGCGGGTAGTTTCCTAACCATCGTTTCTGGAGAGTTACACCAGTACTAGACAACCTTCTTCCTCCGCGCTAAACTAACAAATAAAAGCATCTCCCTGGGATCGAACCCACGCCAGAGAGTTTACTGGATTAAAAGTCATCGACTCTAACCCCTCCACCACGGAGGCGGTATATATAGTGCATGGTGATATTGTACACAGCTATAATGTTCACTGTAACTATTTATCAGAACATAAAATAGTAAAACGTTATTCAGAAAACAATACGGTAATCGATTTATACAGTTACGGAATGAAGCATCCATGCACGTAGTGTTAAGTAACGTAAATGATATTTTCCGATTTTTCTATGTACCGATTTGTTCACTTCGATGTTAATTTTTCGTTTAAGTTAAGCCGTGTTTTGAAACGGGGCATGCACAAAACAATTTTTTGTAGACTGCTCCTAATGATTTTATGCTTAAAATGAGATTCATTCACTGCAATCAGATACGCAAAAATGGATGCCGCCAGCAATCAGTCTGAACACTATGGAGAGGTCTGATGACCTCTCCAATAAAGAAAACTTATGAACAACTAGGCTTGGAACAAAACAATCTCGTGAAGTTTCACTAAAATACTTCCAACGGTTTTAGTGATGAAATGCATACACGCTTATTTTTACTCCAAAACAAACTATTAAGAAGTAATAACTGTGTAAAACATCTAGCGGAAAATCAAGATACTATGCACAAAAAGGCATGTACACCTGTAAAATTTCAATGAAAACTCTCCAGCAGTTTTGGCGATTTAGCGTGGACAAGCTTATTTTACCCAAATTAAACCATATAGGGACAATTACTGTCTCAAAAATCAAGCAGAATATCACGTGAGCACAGCTAGTTTTGGTAACAAACAATCCAGAGAAGTTTCACTAAAATCCCCCATTGGTTTTGGTTATGAAGTATTTTACTCCAACATTGACCATTTAGGGGTCATAACTGTGCAAAAACCATCAAGCCGAAATCAAGACACTATGCACAACGATAAATTGTGACAAACAATTATGTGAAGTTTCACTGAAATCCCCCAGCGGTTTTCGAGAAGAAGCCCGGACGGACGGACAGTGTGATAACTAAATGCACAGAAATATAAAGTATTAATTATATCTGTCATATGTTGCGGTTCAGATCGGAGCATCTGTCCAAAGGGGATCCGAACCGCAATCATACGTCAGATATTTTTTCTTGCATATTCTACCATATTCCAACATATTTAGAATTAAAGTAAGGGCCACTTCAACTTTTCATCTTCATGCTTTCACATTTTACCTTCATGAATTCACGTTTGCAACATAAAGGATTCATTCACGAATTAAGGAATTCAACTTCATTAATTCACGATTTTAGCTTTACGAATTCACGATTTCAACTTCAATAAATTCAGTATTCAACTTCACAGACTCACGATTTTAAATTTGTGAATTCACGATTTCAACATCACGAATGAAATACTTCGACTTCATGAATTGAACTTCGTGAATTCACGATTCACACTTAACGAACTCACGATTTCAACTTCACGAATTCACAATTTCGATTTCATGAAGATGAAATCGGGAATTCATGGAGTTGACATGTCCCCACGGTCTTCGTACATTACATTCGTACCTATTTTCTTACATTAGCGTATGAAATTACAACTTCATTCCAGCGAAAGATGTTAATTTCTACGAAAGTTGCAAAATTCTTAAAACCAAACGGCGTATAAACATCAGTCATTATTTTATTGAATGAAATTCAAATTGAATAAGATTTATTCTGCCATAAACTAAAATCAACATGATGAAATTCGTAAAACAATACTTTTGTCTCTTTGAATATACTATGTTCATCTTTGAGTAAAACATCCTAATTGTAGAAATTTATTGGAATTCTATAAAAATTTATTTGAAAATGTATTTTTTAATAAAAGAACGTCCAAACTATATATGGCAATCTGCGTTCCTTAGTCCGGGTCAAGCAAAGCAGGCCCTTGTTTACAAAAATACTAGCTTTTTTATGATACTTTATATTCATAGTGTGTCCAGGATTTAAATTATACATATCTACTTTGTGTGAAGTCAATACATGTTTATTTTATATTCAGAAAACGACCGTGTAGCAATTATCAATACTTTCAAATATCCAAATTGGGCACAGTATATCTCAAAAAGGAATATAATTGTAAAATAGTTACTTGGAATGCAACTTGGATAGTGTGACCATGTCCCATTTCTCTGACAGACCGAATGCGTCTTTCCTGACACTTCCTTGAAATATTTGTGACACGTGATTTCTACACGTGAACCAACCGCCTTCATATTGCCAAGAAAGGCACCATCCTTTACCTCAAAAGCATCACAAACTAAAAGAAGCCAAAATAAAGACATGCACAATTTTTCATCGCAATATCAATAACCCACATAGCCTATATTGTTACCATAATTACTATGTACATGATAAGTATTTAGAATTTTATTGAAACCATCCTTGGAGTAAAATGCACGGACATATCATCAAGAATATAATTTTTTTTAAATCCCATACATTGTAATATATAAGCATGAGTATATGACTACAGCAGATTAGACCTAATTGTTATTTAATTACAAATTTTTTTATTTTATTTTATTATTTTTTTTAAGTTGTAACTTAATGTTTCTTTGAAGGTTTTACATAAACAGACTCAATCAAACCAAACTTGCCACATTATCAATTTTGTCTTTTTGAGAATTCTACATGAGTTTGTTATTCTATTTTAAATTCTATTGGTGAATTAACAGTAATGTCTTTTATTTTTGCGTATTTCAAATTGGATCAAACCTCCAGATTTCTAACAAATCAAGTTTCAGATAATTATAACCCATTACATCAACCTCGGGCTCGAGTTTATTGAGTCGGCTCCCGGTAGATTATCAAATAAGCAACATCTTAATACTTGAAAATACATCTACTTGGTTATATGTAAGACAGTTACAGACCCATAAGGTTTCGAAGATACAAACATTTTTATCTTTAAGTTATTCATTTTAATAATGTATTTTTTGAATGGAAGCCAAAATGCAACTCTGTTTACAGCTTGATTTTTTTGTCAAAAATGAGATCACGTTCAGTGCTATTTTCTATTTTCTTCGCCTAATAACCATCTTAAATTCTTAAATGCTCTAAATCTATTATTACAATACAATATTATGAAACGCATGTCTGCAACTTCAACAGACAAAATATAGTTTGTTTTAATTTACGAGGCTTAATTTGCCTTTACAGATAATCGTTTTATTCACATTCAACGAATCTCTCTCGAAGTTATAAATAGGTTACAACATATGTAAAAAAATATTTCATCGGTGATAACAGTTAAATGTAAAAGCCTACGGAAATATTTGGAAGCAAGTTTGTCTTTAAGATAACTGTATTTAAACTTACATTTTGAATCACATTGATTAGTTCCACAGTTTCCATCTCCACAAATTTGACAAACGTTAGTAGATTGCTTCAAAAAGTACTGAATATTAGCTTTTCGTTTTGTTCTTATTACAAATTCAATGTTTCTAATTTAATTACAATATTCTAATTAAGTATGAATACTCAGATGAAAAGATGAAAATTTACTTATAATAAACTGCATAGAATTTCAAATGTAAATCATGAAAACTGTTATAAATTAATATTTGAGATGCAAATAGCCTAATTAATACTTACACCCAATTGGAATTATTATTTACTAATAATGCTAACCAGTCTAGTCCTTGCAGCCTAACAAGGTTCCACGGCAAGGTACAAAACTATTCTTTACTATTTCATTAAGTTTTTATTTTAATCTTCCCGTTTCTGGAAATGGTGAGTTACCAAAAAAGATTCTTGATAAGTCAATTCAAGGTCAGTAAAGGGTCAATTAACAAAATTTATGATTTTTTTTTAAATTCACTCACCTCTTCACTATCTATATCTGATCTTTTTACATACAAACAAGATTCACCGGAACGAGCCACGCGATCTTTGAACAGAACTGAGTGCAGTTCACATAGTTTATAAAGCCGTTTGTAGCTTACAGCTGAACAGTTTGGAAGTATCGCACACTCCTCCACACATTGTTGAACAGAGATTCCATTGACGTTATATAAAATAGTATTAGACGATAAACATGTATGAAGACTTGTTATTTTATAATGTACAACACCATTTGCTCCATATATTGTAAGTAAATTAACATACACAGAGAACAGAATTGTAAAAATATTTAAAATCGTATCCTCCTTTGCCATTTTCGGAATCACTTACAGAACTGAAGTGAAATACTTCTTGAACGACTTAACGAATTATTTATTATTCTTTCCTCGTAGGCATAAATAATTCACAACTCTAAACGAGTCGACATAACGTTATAACTGACTTATCTTAAAATGTATTCATTGGTTAAAGATATATATCAAATCATTTGGGAAAATGTCAACCAATCAAACAAGCTGCATTTTTCAAAAACGTTAATTTGTAAATATACGATGGCATAAGAATGACGTGTGTGTGTGTGTGTGTGTGCGTACGAGTGCGTGTGTGTGTGTTATTTTATCTCAAGTACCAGATATACTATGTCGTGGCCAGATATAACTGTGTCGTGGCCATGATATACTTAAGTGGTGCACACGAGATACTTTGTATTTAGTCTTTCGTGGCCACAATATAGTTTCTCGTGTGCACGACTTAATTATCTTGTGGTCAAGACTTAAGCTACTCATAACGATTGCTATTGTTCTCACACTGAAATATACTTCTCATCTCTATTGCTTTTATGAGTGCGCAAAGTGTGTCTTTCTCTTGACAAATAACGCCAAAATAATCATTTACTGTGTTAGATATATAGTAAGCAGTGCTTGGTATTTTGTTTATTTTTTCAACAGAACGTCAGTAGACATCCAGAATTGCATTTTGCTGTTTAACATCAACAATTTAGAACATTTATAATTTAATTAAGTCCTTGATCTGATTTTGATTAATGAAAGCATTTTTTATTTTATATAGATTTTTCAAAAATGGTTACATTTGAAGATTAGCCAGTTACAGTTTCTAAAATGCTCATATAAGTCATCACAATTTTTTAAAGCTAATTGGTCTATAGTGGAAGGTCTGTAATACAATCAATCATTACATCGAAAGTACATTTATATTAAGTATCAGACATAATTTTTAAACAACCCAAGAAATAGTTATTTCTGGATGTTGTTGTGTGAGACACATGATCCAAAATATTGAGAAGTTAAAATGAACGCATTTCTGAGGCACAATGGGCCTTAAACAAAGTAATTGAAAATGAATACTTCCTTTTAGCCAGAAGAATGATTCACTACCAGAGGTTGGTTTATGAAACTATTTGAAGTTGGAAGTACTACAGGACTGTAGGAGACGTATGATTGGTCTGTAGATTTAGTAACTAGGTGGAGCTACTGACAGAGTCATCATTAGTTTGATTGCAGCTGCATATGTCACAGTATATTGATTGCAACTGCATTTGCCACAGTATAAACATAATACATACCAAATAAAATGTACTGTAGAAAATGACGACAAATTAACGTTTAAATGCATGACATTATTGCTTTTAAAGCATATAACTCATTTAACTATTTTGTTATTTACAGCTAGACATTTTCCCGCTGCCGTCCACAAACATTTACATTGGCCATTTTTCTTTACATTTCAGTATGAATTGTCTTCATACTTTAACACAACAACCCTTTGGACAAGATTTCAAATAGACCAGACTGTAATTTACCGAGACTCAGAAATGACCTAGGTCATTTTTTTTTCTATAGCTAGCAATAGTTGCTTGTTACACATAGATTGTAATTTATGGATTTGATTTATACTTCCACAAAAGAACACTTATCACAAAAACCGACATGTTGAACTATTCTGATATGACCTTGATCGACATTTGACCGTCAATGTCAAATAATTGAAATTTGCTTAAATCGCCCTAACTTTAGTATTTACTGAAAAATTTGATTCATACGCGTTTGACAAACCGACATGTTACACTATTCTGATATATCTGATCTTTAATTAACCTTGGTGGTCAATTTATTGAAGGTTGCTTAAAATGTCATAACTTTGATATTTATTTACCGATTTGATTCAGAATTCACTACCCCGTGCTGTCACATAATAATGTCTACGCCGCTAAATGTCGCACTTGCAGCTAAATGTCGCTACCGCTGCTGTATGTCGCAAAATATTCTGCTGTTAAATGTCGCAAAGGTAACATTAACTGTCGCAAAAGTTCATGATAAAATTTAGTTAGCTGGTGGTATTAAATAAAATTACTATTACATTGTGTAAATGTGTGTGCATATTTAGTTTTTTAGGACTTAGGTCTACATGGACACATTTTCAAAAAATATATTAAATATTGATACAACCAACAGAAACGTATGATATGGATATTGTTACAAAATATTTTTTGAACAATAAAGGTCTTCGACCGTGCGACCACATACACGAATAGAGAAAATTTTCTAAGGAAAGTGATGCATCACAAGATTCCCATTCATCTTAGAGACGACAAATAGCTATCCGCCCTCTAATCTAAGGACAGACATTAAAAATATGCCATTTCCTTATTTCTATTGATAAGGAGGCTAAGTGTCAATATGTCTTCAATTGGTTTATATACAACCAAAGTAACGCAAACCAAGCGGAGAGATCAGTTGTAGTCCTTTTAAGTTTGCTATGACATTTTTAAAAGATCATATATAATTTCTTGGAAAACTTTAAGTTTACAGCCTTTTCTACTTTTCATTCAATGTATATATCATAGAATTTTTTTTTTTTTTCAGAACATGAAGGTTTCAAAAACGTTTATATGCATTGAATATAGGAGATAAATTTCATACTTTATTTGCACAAAAATAATCATCCTTGGGGCATTATTGCCACAAAGTACGCATTTAATTTTAAGATTCGACTTACCCCCTAAGTTAAAGAAAAGGTTATGCTGCAAGACAAAACAATATGTTAAACTTTAGCAGCCGACAATTCTGACACTGGTAAGACTTTACCTGCTAAAATTGTAAAATGTACCTTTCAAGCTTCCATTTTTTTAAGAATTGTCAATTAATATTGGAATATCAAGATAGAAATTTCTAAAGTTATTCAGCCAAAACTACATAACCGGTTCATTCTGCACGGATGTGTGTGGAACGTTGCTTACATATAAACATGTATCTATACTGGTTTCCAGCAGTAAACATGTGCAGTGCTGTTAACAGGTGTCATATTTACACAATTGATTTTGACCTGAGATCAAAGTTTAAACAAAGTCTATTATACAGTTTTCAATCTGCCTTAATATTGTCTATGAAGCTGTAGTACATGCCTTTAAACTTTCATTTGTTATATTTTCAGGATGGAAAAGGTATCGATGCGATAGTTGGATCAAAGAAATAATTTTAAATGGCACAGAGTAAATGCAATTTCAAATCAAACGAAGCCCCTCAATTCAATGTTATTTCACATAACATAAAAATATACAAAATATCCCTACGACTATGAACAGTGAGTGACATAACAGACAGATGGGTTAATTTTGTTGTAGTTTATCTTGTCTTGTCCTGTAAAAAAAAGCTTTTTCGATGAAACGTTCGCATTAACATATTTATGTCATGAGAAAAATATTACAATGATAGAACAAAGCCCCGATTGTTGTTTTTTTTTTTTTTTTTGAACCACGTTTAAGGCCCGTTTATTTAAGAAAAAATAATACAATACAAGTAAACAAACCATGATAACTTTAGCATTTTCATTGACATGTAAATAATTAAAAAAAAATTATTTTGTTATTTTTTTAGTTAGAATATATAAGACATTTTAAAAAGTTAAGAGGTTCATTTTTTTATCCAATTACACAAGAAAAGGGGCAAAAGGTTGAAAAGTAAATAAAAAGTAAATAAACTGCTTTAGTAGCATTTTTTCTGCATGTACTATTTAGAAATCAAACAATTCAATTAGATTTATCCAGCAATTTTCAAATTCTTCTAGTGTATCATTTTGTAATGCAACAAATCTTTCAATTTTTAATCTGTTTAAAAATTTTCTTTTGAAGATACTTATATCTGGAGTTCGTTTTTTTTAATTTACTGGTGTAAATGTAATATTTTGAAAAGAGAAAAATATACGATGTTTTCTTATCTTTAGCATGAAAGAAAGATGTGAAATTATCATACCTAACATTTATTGCTATTTCATTAAGCCATTTGAATAAATTATTCCAGAATATTTGTACTGTTTGGCAGTCCCAAAATAGGTGTTCTATACTTTCAACATCCATACAGCAAAAATCACAGAGACTAGATTCGGTTAATTTACATTGAAGGAGAAATTTGTTTGTTGCAATATTCCTGTGTAAAAAATTATATTGAAAGTTTTGTAAAATATTATCTTTGAAATAAACAAAAACGTTTTCGTAAATATTTTGCCATTGAAAATTCTTTTTGAGGAAATCGTTCTTCCCATTTTATTTGCGATTTT